CAACAGGTCTCTTCAGAACACTGGATTAGGGCTGGGCACGGTGGCTCACGCCTGTAATCCCAGCACTTTGGGAGGCCGAGGCAGGTGGATCACAAGATCAGGAGATGGAGACCATCCTGGCTAACACAGTGAAACCCCGTCTCCACTAAAAATACAAAAAATTAGCTGGGCGTGGTGGTGGGTGCCTGTAGTCCCAGCTACTCAGGAGGCTGAGGCAGGAGAATGGCGTAAGCCCGGGAGGCAGAGCTTGCAGTGAGCCAAGATCGCACCACTGCACTCCAGCCTGGGCGACAGAGCGAGACTCCGTCTCTAAAAAAAAGAAAAAAAGAACAACAACAAAAAAAAGAACACTGGATTATCCCTCTTCCAATAGTCTGTTTTCTTACAGTGTGCACACTGATTTATGCCCAAAGCACAATGACTCAGATGCCCAGCTTTGGGCTTTTCACGTTTCAGCTTCCCTTGTTCAAGCCAAGATCTAGGAGTGCAACCCCACATGGGAGGTTAGCTTAAGGTTGCAACCAACAGCTGCACCTTGTGGAGGTCCTTCTTCCTCTTTCTCCTTCCTCCACTTTGTCCGTGTTATTAAAAACTAAAAATGCCATATCCAAAGCTGTTCCTTAGAAGTTTTGGGACCCATAGCTGCTTTTACTACTTTTCTGTGGATATCAGGGGTAGACTGGGTTATAAAATGTACTCCCAGAAGGATTTATCTTTACCTTGAGGCAGGATCAGTGTTAGTATATTTCCTGATCGACTCAACTAAACGCTATTGAAACAAAGCTGGATTCTCATCTTTGCCCTGAGAAACTTCCTTAACCTTTTCATTGTTAACAGGATTTTTCTTACATTTCTTCATCTCTTCCAACAAACAAGTGACCATATGATCTCTTCTCCCAAGTCCTCTCTGCCCTTTGATAGTTCCACTCTAGATCTTGATCTGGAACTGCTATACCTCCTGTCTGATATATATTATGGTTCAGGCTGCAAGCCAATAATGCATCTGCAAGGATCCTAGCTGCCCCAAAATGCATTGTTTCTCTTCCACTGTACAACAGAGACAACAAACCATACAGATCCTGCCAAGATAAAGTATAGGCCAGAGTTAACTTTTCAAACTCATCTATGAATTTTTCTTGATCTTCAGAGAAATGATCAAACTTGTCTATTATAGAGCCAAACCAGACAGAGAAAAGTGTCCATGTCCTCTCACAGTGCCTTCTTCCCCATTTGCAACCTAAGTGGACAGAGATTTCCCTTTGGAGGTTGATAGGCAGCTCCATTATGAGTAGTACCCGCTGGGCTCCATTCTTCAGGGTGTGG